TCCTAAATCTAGTGTGAAGGACACGCATAGTTAAGAGAGGAAAAATGAAAAATGGGTGTAGAATGATGCTAACCGCTTTAGCCAGAATTGTCACTTCCATCGTTAATTTCATTACCTTGCTAAGATTAAACAGAGGAATGAAAGCCAGGAGGAGGAAGAGAAGGATCCAGTTCAAGCAGAACCATCTTAGTGAGTGCAGAGATTATTCAGTATTACATTTCACTGTGCCGCGTACTGTTTCCCAGCCTGCAAGTTAAATGGAAAGACTTTTATGATGCAAATGCAGGCAGCGGTGATAAATCTCTCCTGCTCTCTTCTCCTGAACTCCCCTGATGCAAAACGATGTGCTCTCTCTTTCTCTCCTTCTTTCTCTTTGACTCATTGGCACAGTCACTCTTTACCACTTGCTCGCTTTCTTCCCTCTGCAGCGTTCTGTTACACTCGCCCTCAGGCCACATGAAAAATGAATCAGACCCAGGTGACGCGGTAAGGGAGTGTTAAAGTGAGGGTGCGGCGAGTAGGAGAGGGATAAATGAGAGCCAGAGACCCCAAAAAGTAAGACTTTGACTTTCCTGGACAACTTCTAGGTCACCCTGATGGGCAACATGAAATACTTACAAAGATATGCAACACGCACAAACATCTGCAACTATGCCATCAGATTATATTAGTCATGAGTGCAGACAAGTATTTCAATAAGAAGCAAAAGAAAACCATCTATGTGGTTATTTGCCTTGAAGATTCAGCATAGTCACTTTATCTGGAATAACTTTTAGAGTATTTATTCCAGTTGGGTAAATCATACATCAGGAGTCTTCAATGTTTTCCAGGCTAAGGACCCCAAACTGATGGTGATGGAGCGAGGACCCCCTAGTTATATATAGTATGAAAAACTGTTCTATCAAACTGGTCCTATAGTCACTCTATTACAGATGGTGTTGTGGCCATTTATGCTACATTTTTGTAATTTATTTCTGAAAATTTAGTGTTTGTCTGATTTTTTTACAACTTTTTTGAACCCTCGTTCTCACCACTATACGAGGGATACTCACCTCGTATAGTGGTGAGTATCCCTGCCTGTCACGCAGGAGACCAGGGTTCGATTCCCTGACGGGGAGCCATGACTTAAATGTCGCGCCCTTCTGTTCCAACAAAAATAAAGTACCAAAGTTTCCAATGAAGGCCGTGGGTGGTAACAGGTGGTTTTGTTTTTGTACACACTTCCAGCTTGGCTTAAAAAGCAAAAATAAAAAAAATATATAAAAATACTTCAAGTGTCTTGGAACTTAGTAGAAACGAAATTTAATGTTTTAAGCTTCCAAAAAAGTAGTCAAAAAATCATTTTTCAAAACCTCCCGTCCACACAAGACATTTTCCCAAACATCCTCCAACACCTGGTGTGCTCCTAATCACTCAAATTAATGGGAGGGACAAAAAATTAAGAACCAAACTCCAAACTACTCCAAATGTAAAAAATAAATAACACATTTTGGTTCTAAATTAACTTAA